CGCCATAATCAATGAGTCAATTCGAATTAAAAAAAAGTTCAATATACAAAAAATGAAACGAAAACAAAAATAAACATTGGAATTTAAAACTTGCTCCATTTTGCCTCTTCTTTTGCATAATACGATAGCCACAACTTTTTAGAAATCACGGTGAGACAATTTTAACGAGAATGTCATTTTTCGTAAACCGGACCTGATTTATGTTGAACATTTCAATTTGCAATTACCCCTGAGTTGCGTTAGTCAAAAGAATTTTGAGAATTACGAAGTATATTATCCCGACAAAATTTGGAATGAATCAATAATATACAATTATGCACGTTGATTGATGATCTACAATAAACATCTTTCAATTCATTATAATCCTGAATATAGTTTAATGTCTTTGAATGTTTCAATGAGTGAGGGAACTGAAATGGAGGTTGTTGAGGAGCATGTGATTTTTCACGATATCGGATTTGTGTTATAACGAGTATCATGGGTGATGGCTGCCTGTAAACGGTGTACGAATGAGAACGATAAATATAATACAATTCGAATGCAAGAAGAATGATTTGGAAGGAAGTTTTTTTAATAATAAAAAAGGCCCTTTAAACACTATGTAAAAGGATTGCGTATGAAATGTAAGAAATAAGGCGTAGATTACAAAGGGAAAAAAGAGAATAGAGTATGGACACGAAAGAGTAATAACCTTATACAAAGGATGAAAATAAGAAATCCTGATTTTTAAGGTCTTTTATAAGAAACATAATTATTTCAACTATAAATTTGGGCAAGTTAGGGCTATATTATAGCTAGCAATCTTGGGGGGAGGGAACGAAATAAAAAAGGGTTCTAAGTCAATTAGGGGCGCATGTTATGGAGAAAGGGAAAGGGGGCACTTATCATAGAAAAAAAGGTACACGTGTTAAAAGGGGAATTATCAGCGGTGAACGTGGGGTACACGACACGGGTCATTCATTAAATATGAATAAAAGAGGCACTTATGGTTATGGAAAAGGGTACCTAATAAGGAATTTATCTGAGGTTAAAGATGGCATTTATGAAAAGGGGAAGGGGCTTGTATGAATAAAGATAAGGGAGAACTTACCCGAAAGTAATAGGGTACTTATTAAAAAGGAACAGGGGCACGCGTCAAATTTAAAAAAATGGCAAATATCAGAGGTGAAAAGGGACATTTCTAGCATCTGACAAGAGGCACATACCAGTGATGGAAAGAGGCATTAAAGGGAATGGATACGGGCACTTAATATGGTCATGCGATTGCATTGTGAAAGAAACGTTGTGGAATCGATTAGTAAAGGTTGATAATCTACGTAAAGGTATTGGTGTGTACTGCAAGGTTCTGGAATCATCAAAATGATAAGAAATTTGGCCCAGTCTTGGTTAAGTTACAAGTACTGTACACGTACAGAAATATGGGACAACGCGACACGTCCGTGATATCTATCAGGTCCAAATAGATATAATCTTTTACCAAATATATCAATTAGTAAGCGGTTTCTCGGCAAAATTTCTCAGTCAAAACATATTCTTTCACATGATTGGTAATAAGACCTTCCATTTCATTTTTTGAGAGGGGTACGTTTCCAAAACTGGTCTTTACCTTTAACATGCTTTTCTACAGAGGGCATCTCTATGAGGAGAAAAAAAATAAAAAAATCAATAATAGTTGTGCGTCATGAGTTAGAGGGGCGTCAACTGATATACTTTGTCTAAGAATCAGGCCTTTTGCATGGCTTTCAACAAACTCTATCCAAAGTTCATCGAAAAGAGCAATCTCAATTAAATAAAACTAAACTAATATTAAAAGAATAATAAATCCAAGTGCACAGAATAAAGTGTATATTACTGCTATAGCAGCCTAATCAATGAGGCGGGACGGTGAGGGGGAGGGGTCTTATGTATTTTTGAGTGCAAATAAGATTAACCCGTAGCCGAGTGAGATGTGTCGGGAGCGAGAGAGAGAGGGGTTATAGACAAATTTAAAGAGAGAGAGAGAGAGAGAAAGAGAGGGAGAGGGGTAGGGTGATTGATGAGAGCGGGAAAACCGATGAATGAGATCTCTCTCTCTCTCTCTCTCTAGAGAGAGATATAGAGAAAGATATAAAGAGAGAAAGAGAGGCTCTGCTTCCAGTTAGTACCTCCATTCTAGTGCCATTAATTTTATATTGTCTTGTTTCATTGTATATTATTTTTATTTACTTACTCATTGTATTATGTTTTGCATGAGAAATACAATAATTTGAATTGATTTTATATATCGACGTCATCGTTATTCTTGATGTGGAAAAGTAGGGGATTTCCCGTGCCGTCATTCTAGTGCGTGAGCACGCTTCCGGGTTACTCGGCGCTAGCGGAGCGGCCACACCTGCAGCATGCACAGCACAGCTAGCTAGCATTCAATCTAATCACTGAGTATAAATCGACAGATGAGCTGCACTGAGGAGATCTTTTTTTTGTGTTGTAAGTATTCTGTTCTTGTTGCCTGTTAATATTGTGTTGGTGAGACATATTTGTTTCAAACCCGAACAGGGGCACTGACTGACTGAGGTTGAAAAAGCTGGAGTTTGTAAATCAACGATAACAATGTATGCACACATCTATGAGTATGAACAGATGAACTAGATCTAGTACTAGTAGATCTACTAGTAGTACGACTACCTAGTGTAGATTATACAGGATGCAGGATGTCGAATTCAATTATTATGAACTGCCTTCTTTCGTTGTCGGAAGAGGGAAGTTTTATTTATCCGACTCGTCTTGATCGACCCGTGTTGTTTTCTCAATTTCAGATTCAGATTCAGATATGATGACGCCAAGCTACTGGGGTAAATGGAAATATTTTCGCCATTTCTTTAGGCCAGTTTAGGTCTATACTTCTTGACTTGGGTCTTCTTCTTCTTTGCTAAATACAGGCCAGCGTAGGAATTTATTCTCGTATTGATGTAGGTGCTGCGCAGGTGTATTCATTACTGTCTCATTAAAAGGCCTACTAAGTATCAGTATTACAACTTAGAAGGAACTATGTGCAGATAATTATAAAAAGACATCCAACGCTTAACAGTGCATGCCGTGGGGTCCAGGCGTCAATGGTCAGGGCCCTCGGAAGCTCAGGGGTTGAGGTATTTACCGGTCAGATGAGCATATTTTGAGACCTTACTTGTGACACTGGATGCAAGTAATTGGCCTGGAAGCATCAAGCTCAGGGGTTAGGCCAGACACCTTAGAGCCCTTGGTGGGGTCCAGGGGGCATAGCCCCAGGCCCAGGAAGCTAAGTGTTTTAGGCATTTAATTACTATCAGATGAGCATATTTTGATGGCTCATCTCATCTGCTCATCTATTTCTCTTAGTTTAAGCTACCTTTCCAAAAAAAAAAGTTTGGTGGGGGGGGGGGGGGGGGGGGCAGATATGTAGGCTTTAAAATAAGCATTTTTTTTTGCCTGACTGTAAATTCAGGAATTTTGTAATTTCCAAAAAATGCATAAAAAAGTATAATTTACACAAAAGTGAGGTAAAATTCCGCAAAAACGTCATTTAAGCAACATTTGTAAATCACTGGTATTGAATTAGAAATACACCACATTTGAATTTTATTGAGGGGGGGGGGGGGGGGGGGGACTGTCCCCAAGCCTCCCCTTCAATCAGTATGCCAATGCTTGCAGCTGGTGGCTTCTTTGAACTGCTTCAATGTGGGCAGTTCGATGACATTTGTGGGAAGCTCATCCCAGTCTTTCATGGTGCAAGGAAAGAAGCTGTACTTATAGGAATCAGAGGTTGTACCAAGTCTAGTGAAACGAAGATGATATTGACTGGGGGGGGGGGCTGTTTTTTTGTTCAAAGGTAAAGTGAACGTTACCATCGTTTTTATAAACCTATTTTTTTTTTTTGGGGGGGGGGGGGCCAGTGGAGGGGGCCCGTGCCCCCTGGGCTCCCCCCTGCATCCACCCCTGCTTCTTCGCATTGAAGAGCATCTGCCACTTTTCAGTTCATTTGTGCAACTTTTGATGGTCTTTCTGCAGACCCTCGGCATCCTCATCTTTGTTGATCTTTCGAAACGGGAGGCAATCATCGGCAAAGAGCTTGATGATTGAGCTAATTTACTCTCCAATTTTATTGATGTAGTAGGAATATCCCCTTTGGTCCCCTGATCCAACATTTATGGTTTCCAATCTTGATAACATTCACGAATCATACTGCTCCGTAATCTATAGCAATATAACACCAAAATACTATTCAATAAAGGATTAGAATTAGAATCGCAATAAATTTAGGGTTTCCAATATTAAAAAGCAGAAAGGGTCTAAATCACTCATAGAACCATCGGTATGTAGAACTGTGTCAATTTTAGTGGTGGTGGAATATCTTTGCATTTTCAATACAAAGTAGGGTTATGGAATATCTCATTTCATATTTCAATTCCTTCAGTAGAATCTTGCCTATTTTCAGTCAATTTTTAGGCCAGCGATCTTGCTCTTGAAATTCTCTCATATGAGACCTAGAAAGCACACTTGCCTACAGTATAGGCAATCCCCAAGTACCCTTTTTGTGTGAACTAGGCTTAGGCCTAAAAAAAGATGCTGTATTGCCCTTTAGATGCCAAAACATGGAAATCTTTTTTTTTCTCTCCCTCTTTGTACTGTTATTTCTCAGTTTTGAATGCTTTAATATTTTTTTTTCTCTAAAAACTGTATTAAAAAAAAATATAAAAAAGCTGGCTGTAAATTTCAAGATTTTGGGGTTGGTCGCAAAGGGCAATACAACCTTTTTTTTAGGTCTTATATTGAAACTCTCACTTTAGATCTAAAATGGAAATTTTGCTACTTTACACATACCACAAAAGCCAATCATTGTTAACATTGTGCAACAGCGGAGCAAAGCATTAGTTTTCCAGCGTACTCTTACCCATCCCTTAAGTAACAAAAAATCATGCAAATATCTCAACTATGAAAACTATCATCTTCATTTATTTTTTTCTGACATCATTGATCAGGTATTGAACTGAAATCCTGAGAAGAAATGGCTTCCCCCTTGCCAGATGCACTGTTAGCGACAGACGTTATGAGAGATGCAGACATGACCAATCCAGGAACAAGTGCATGCTTCCAAGGCATAGGAGCTCTCCGTCAAATGTTTGACTATCACATAGAGACAGCCTTGAGAACTGAGCATGAGCTAAGGTCAAAGATCACTAGCATGGAACAGGAGAAGAGAGAATATGATGAGAAGATCAGAAAATTAGAGCAAGAAGTTCTTGTCGTGAAGGTGCTCTATAGTGCTCATATTGCCGGGTACATTGCCACTCGTGACGCTCCATTATCATAATAATAATAATAATAATACATGAGATTTATATAGCGCCATTATCCATTTTAATTAAATTACCTCATGTTTAGTGTGGCTGCCATTACATTTACAGAACCCAAGCATTTTAAGGGATAAATTCCTGCCGGATACCCATTTACATCACGTGGGGAGGGGGGGGGGGGGGGGAGTTTGGCAAGTGTAGATTAATATTGGGGTGGTCTATGCAGCTAAGGCAAGGCATGGCTCTATCTTGATGAGAACAAGAAACACATCTTCATAGCTCCATGCTTGCCTGTGGGGAACTGCCTTAGATTATGCATGCTTGCAATTACCTCAGGGGTTTATTTTGCATCTACCGGAACATGTATTAACATGTACATTTGTATGATTGAATTGAGAGAGGGATCGAGTTTGTTAGACATGGTGTTTACTTTATACGCGAATGATCTTTTTTAGAATTTGGTTTTGGGGTATGGGATATGTCAAGAAGAGAATTCAATGAATAGCGGGTACAGTAGTTGAAGGTGTGATCATTTTATTTTTTTTAAATATTTATGTTGAAGGTGTGATAATTGATAAGTAAGGCCTACAAAAAAAGATGTTGTATTGCCCTTTGCGACCGACCCAAAAATCTTGAAATCTGCGGTCAGCTTTTAAAAAAAGTTTCAAAACTGAGAAATATCAGCCCAAAGAAAGAGTTAAAAAAAGGGATTTTTTTTTTTTTTTCGACCGACCGACCCATGTTTTGGTACCTAAAGGGCAATACAACTCTTTTTGTAGGTTTAAGTTGGGGCCATGACGATTATAATTTTAAAAACTAACAAACAGTAGTGATATTTTAATACTTTTTCGACCGATTGCCAGTTTAAAGTTGTAAGAAGCGTATATTGTGGTGTGTCGTAATCCTTAGTCAAAATCAATCTCGCAAATCTATTTTATTACTTTTGCAGCTTCGATAGATTTGACTTTGAGCAGTTTCCCCAAGCAGTACAACAATTAAATAGTCGATATGTTGTAAAATTGATGCAAAATAGAGGTTTATACAAGTATTTTATGGGGTATTAGATGTTTTGTATGATGAATACATTATAGAACAAGATATTGTAGTACTTTTATATTTTATATGTTCAGACCACGTCAGTTGTAAGTCTTTTAAAACTCCTAGGTATTTTATTGTTTCGACACACTACTTAAGTTTCTACCATTTAATTTAAATGAGAGACGATTGTTCTCCAACTTTATTTTTGATCTAAAGGACATCACCATAGTTTCCTGAGGGTGTATATACTTATTTGTATCAAACCATTTACATATTAAATCAAACTCATTCTGTAACTTCAGAAAAATTATTAGAATTATTAAAGATGACAGTATCGTCAGCATAAAGTGATATCTTGGAATTACTATGAAATTTTTAATTATTTATATCATTAATAATTGATATACAAACAAACAATCAAGGGGCCCAGAAGTGACCCTGGCGGTACCCCAGATTTAACAATTAAATACTCACTACAATGTTTATCTATAGTAACACAATGTTGTCTACCTATTAAGTAAGATTTAAACCATTCACATACCTTGTTACTTACGCCATAGAAAATTCGTTTATCAAGTATTATTTTATGTGGAATAACGTCAAACGCTTTCCTAAGACCGTAAAATATTGTTTCAGTAATCTGACCCGAATTCATATTATCAAGAAGATAATCAGTAATTTCTGTGAGACATGTGGTTGTGGAATAAAGTGGTCTAAATCCAGACTGACGTTCTGATAATAAATTATTTTGGTTAAGGTAAGAATACAATTGTTTATGTAGGGCTTTCTCTAGATTTTTTGACAAAGAAGGCAGTGTTGAAATGGGCCTGAAATTATAAACACTTACGTACCTCCCTTGTGTATCGGAGTGATTTTTGCAACCTTTGAAATCAAAAGGAAATCTTGAAGTTTTTAATGATTGATTAAATAATATAGTGATTGGTTTTGCAATGATATCTGCAGAGAATTTGAGTAATTTGGGATGTAGACCCTCTAACAAATTCTGATTTGATTTCTTGAAATTCAAAAGAACAATCCGTTTGCAATAACGATCGTAAACAATTCAAATCACCATCTACAATGCTACACTGTAGGACATGTTGGTAGATTTGAACTCACATTAATAAAAGTTTCATTCAATAAACTTGCCACCTTTACTTTATCAGTTATTAGTCCATCATCAATTAAGATTGTGTTGTTTACCTCCTTTTGCCTTGAAGGCAAGAGTCTTTTCAAAACCTTCCATTTTTTTGCATTCTGAGAACTCGTTTCGGTAATACTCTTTTTAAAGATTTTTGTTTAGGTTATTCGCTTTGTTCCTATATTACTTGAACTTTACCAAGCAAAAATCACACTTCGTCTTTTTATACCTTTTCTTATAGTAATCACGGTCATGTGCATTCATCCGTAATTTTATGCAAACCATTTAGTTTTCTGCTGACAGAAATAAAAGGTGCATGTTAATCACCTAATATTGTAAACACAGATTTGATATGACACCACTTTAATCAGCTTCAACATTTTCTTCATTGAAGTCAGCCCAATTGTGAATTCTCAAGTCCTCTTGCAATTTTATTGCTTTCATTAAAGTCTCGTAATGATCTAAATTTACATTTTTTCGAATGAAGCAATCAATTTTTGCCTTTTACGACTATAAATATGAAACAGTGGTCTTATATACTGTATATGCATGCTACTGTTTACATGATTAACTTTTTCTGATCACTTCCACACCTTTTCTTTCACAATGCAACTGCATGAACAGAACTCAACTTTATCTTTAAGTTGGGGAGAGTGAACATAGCATGAGAGCAGGTAGAGGGAAATTTGATGGTGATTCAATGTGATAGAAAGAGTAAAATGGACCTAGATGGTAGAAGGGATACAAATAGACAGATCATTCGTTCAAGTCTCCTTTGATCAAGATTAGTATCTTGATCTTCGGAGTAGTTGCTACAACAGGCCGTGTCAGACACGTTTCCCCGGGGTGCGAGATAGGACTCTTGACAGATGGGAAGATAGGATGCTTTCATACTGGTGTTGATATGTTGGTCTGGTGTTGAACTGTTGTTGGTCTGGCGTTGATCTGTTGTCGGCCTGGTGTTGATCTGTTGTCGGTCTGGCATTGATCTGTTGTCAGTCTGGTGTTGATATGTTGTTGGTCTGGTGTTGATCTGTTGTTGGTCTGGTGTTGATCTGTTGTCGGTCTGGTGTTGATCTGTTGTTGGTCTGGTGTTAAACTGTTGTTGGTCTGGCGTTGATCTGTTGTTGGTCTGGCGTTGATCTGTTTTCAGTCTGGTGTTGATCTGGCATCGGTCTGGTGTTGATCTGTTGTTGGTCGGGTGTTGAACTGTTGTCGGTCTGGTGTTGATTCGTTGTCGGCCTGGTGTTGATCTGTTGTCGGTCTGGTGTTGATCTGTTGTCAGTCTAGTGTTGATCTGTTGTCGATCTGGTGTTGATCTGTTGATTTCCGGTGTTGATCTGTTGTCAGTCTGGTGTTGATCTGTCGTCAGTCTGGCGTTGATCTGTTGTTGGTCCAGTGTTGATCTGGCATCGGTCTGGTGTATATCTGTTGTCGGTCTGGTGTTGATCTGTTGTTGGTCTGGTGTTGATCTGTTGTCGGTCTGGTGTTGATTCGTTGTCGGCCTGGTGTTGATCTGTTGTCGGTCTGGTGTTGATCTGTTGTCAGTCTAGTGTTGATCTGTTGTCGATCTGGTGTTGATCTGTTGATTTCCGGTGTTGATCTGTTGTCAGTCTGGTGTTGATCTGTCGTCAGTCTGGCGTTGATCTGTTGTAAGTCTTGTGTTGATCTGTTGTCGGTCTGGCATTGATCTGTTGTCGGTCTGGTGTTGATCTGTTGTTGGTCTGGTGTTGATCTGTTGTTGGTCTGGTGTTGATCTGGCATCGGTCTAGTGTTGATATGTTGTTGGTCTGGTGTTGATCTGTTGTCAGTCTGGCGTTGATCTGTTGTTGGTCCAGTGTTGATCTGGCGTCGGTCTGGTGTATATCTGTTGTCAGTCTGGTGTATATCTGTTGTCAATCTGCTGTTGAGTCATATTGAAGCCAGTGGCAGATGTAGGGGAGGTGGTGGGGAGGAAAGAGGTCTTGTTCTGTTACAAAATATGGCGATCGAGCTTTTTCAGTACAAATGCCCCTATCCCTTGTAATAATTTACCAGCGCATATTCATAATACTCATTCTCTTGACCAGTTTAAGTCCTTGCTGAAAATGGATCTTTTTAATTCATGAATGCTATTCTGCACTTGTGAGTCGGTCAAAGGAGGTGCACACCATCTTATTCTTTGTTTGTTTGATACTATGTTTGACATTATGTTTGATCTCATTTTTATTTTTGTTATTTATATATGCATTATTTATTGAATAAAGAACAGATTTATATTTTTGTGTTTATTATAAGTTTTAGTTGGTAATTTTAAGTCACAAAATGGTGCGCTTAGAAACACCGGTATTAAGCGCCTAATAAATGTTATGTATTATTATTATTATTATTATTATTAAATGCATGACAGATATATGAGGGCTATTGAAATATTTGAGGTTATTCATTTAGAAAGTCATCATCAGCAGAAAATGATGTTCTATCATTTTTTTTTATAGGGAAATGGTCTAGAATTGGAAGGAGGATTAAGTCAGCCACAAAGAACTGTGCCAGATGAAGGTGAGGACTGGAATGGGAAATATGAGGAGATGAGGAAGGAATGCAAGACGCTAAAGGAAGAACTTCATTCTAAAAGGAACCTATGCAGCAATTGTAATACTGGACCAGGAAGTGAGTCATGTTCAGGGCAGATCTCCACTGAGGTATGTTATTTTCAATAATTAATTTGAGTGGATCACAGCTTGTTGATAAAACAATTTAGGATTAGGCCTAAAGGTAATATTTTTAAGAAAAAAGAATGTTATGAAGAAAATGTATTGAATTTATTTTAATGTCAGATTATATGTAGCGTGTAAATTAATTTCAATATTTTTAACACATATGATTGAATGAAATTAATTAGTGCTTTCTATTTCAATGTAAAATATGAAATTGTCTTCACCTGAAATATTTTTCTCTTCACATACTGCAAATCAGGCATATATTTCTTAGTAATTCAGAAGCCATCATAGTTTCATGTATTTATCATTATCATGGTAATGTTTTGATTGACAGGAGGATCTACCAGTCACCATGGAACACAAGCTTTACTTGTCTGATAAAGTCTCAGGAAATAATATCAAACATGTTCTGCGACATTTAAGTGTACCTGACACTGATGTGGAAAACATCTATTATGCACACCATGACCCCAAGGAATGCTGCATACAGGGACTGAAAAAATGGATGGAAAACAAGGGGAAGAAAGCAACAGTTGGGGCACTTATTAAAGGATTGTTGAAATGTGGTCTTCGAAATGTTGCTGAACAGTTTTGTGTGATTCACAAACTGCATCAACTGCACAAATTGGTATGATTTGATATTGTTTTGGTTGCTTCATACATCTAAGGCCAGTTCCTCAATTCTCAAAACCATCATAATTTTATGTTAATGGAATCGGACATCCCATAAATGTGTGTGTTAACACATGATTCTACTGAATGACCAAGACTGTAGACTTACGATGGTTTCGTGAAAATGGCCCCCAGGTTCCTAAGCCCCGCTTTTGGACTGAGTATATGAACATTTACTACATGAATTTTCAGTATTCTTATTTAGTCAGGCAAAAACATTTTCATTGGAAACAAACTCACAGTACTTCACAATTTGTTTATTTAAATATTTCAGTAATTTTACATTCAATATACAATTTTATTTGTATGAAGGTGAAGGGTCTTTTGCTCACCAGAAAATTGGTATATCTTACACTTTGCACAAAAGTAGGTGGATAACCATGATATTTTAAAACAATATATCATGGTTTGCAAAAAAGTACCTGGATAATTATGTGATATTTGTCTATATCTCATAGTTTGGAGGAAAATAATCAAAAGTGTATACACATTTAAATATGCAAAGGCTAAGACAATATATGTATGCGCATAACCATTGCAGAATGTTAGGATAAGGCCAAATTGTGTTTTTATCTCTGTGTTTAAAGTGCAATTTCGTACAAAAGCATATGGATGTAATAGTGAATATTGAGTTACTGAAAGTAGGCTTAATACAATTAATAATAATTTTCTCTTAAAAACACCACTTACCTGTGAATTCAGTGGCGGATCCAGGGGGGGGGGGGGCCCGGCCCCCCCCCCTTGAGAAAAAAAATCATGTAAAATCACGTGATTTTTACCTTTTGGGGGGTTGGGCCCCCCCCCCCCCCCCTGGCGCTCAAGGGGGGGGGGGGGGGTGCAAATTGAAAATTTTTTGAGGATAAAAAAAAAAAATGTGCTCACTACCCCCCCCCCCCCCCGAGCGAATTTTTGGCCGGCGCTTTTTTCAAATTTTCGGGAGCAAAAAAAAAAAAAAAAAAAAAAATGTGCTCTGTACCCCCCCCCCCCCCCCCCCCCCCCCCCCCCCCCCCCCCCCCCCCCCCCCCCCCCCCCCCCCCCACTGAGCGACTTTTTGGCCGGCGCGATTTTCAAATTTTCGGGAGCAAAAAAAAAAAAAAGTTGGGCCCCCTCCCCTAAGAAATCCTGAATCCGCGCCTGTGTGAATTTGCTGTTGTTTTGTAATTGGTGTGTTCAAACACTCATAATCTTTCAAATACTATGATTAACTTTTACTTTTACTCCGCATTTTTGGCGCCATCGTTCTTTTGCGCTCAATCACACCAGGCTTTTCTCGTCTGACGGTTTTCACTTCAACGACACTGGTATGTTGAGGTATTACCGAAGCGTTCGCGGCGCTGTCATGAAGGCTTATAAGATGGATTGAGAAGTCATGATGTCTTAATTTAATTTATTTACCATTTCTGCATCATTTTTATAGTGATTATCAAGAGCGACGTGTTGCACGATCGAGAACCTTCGTGGTGTAGCTTGTTGCTCTCAGCCGCTTAGTGGGCGCTTAATTTTTTTTCTCTCAATTGGGTTGAATAATTATTATATTTATGTGATCTAAAAGATTTTTGACCTACTGTCAGCATGAACATCATGCAAATGATTCAATTTGAATTGCATTTTTCATAATGAAAACAGAATCAAGAATACAAAAATATACTCGCGTTAACGCGATAGGGTCGATTCCAATCTCTCTGGCATGTTGTAAGAGATATTTGGACACTCTGCCGCCATAACCGAGTCAATTCGAATAACATTTTGTTTTCTATGAAAACTGAAACGAAAACAAAAAAGTATATGTAATTTCTAGCTTGAAAGTGTTTAAAACTTGCTCAAATTTGCCTCTTTTGCTCAAAACGACCACCCCAACTTCTTAAGGAATTTTTTATCAAATAAGAATGCCCTATTGCGTAAAACCAAATATGTGGAACATTCAATTTAAGGTATCAAAATAACACCTGAGTTGCAGTCGCACGTAAAATTACAAAGTATATTATCCCTACAGAATTTGAATTAATCACTTGAAATGAGTTATAACTTAATGCACGTTGGTTATTGATCTATTTTATACAATAAACAGATTCAATTCATTACAATCCTATATAGTTTTGAATATTTTTTGTATTGTAGTGAGTTACTGAAATTAAGGTTGTTGAGGAGCACGAGATTTTTTCAAGAAATCTGGGTTGTCTGTATGCAGGCGCGTACGCAGTTTTTTTTATGTGTATGTATTTTCCGAACCACCCCCCCCCCCCCTTTAAGTTTTTTTAAAATAAATTTAATTGAAGAAAAAAAAGAAGAAAAAAATATTAATAGATGACCTTACCCCCTAAGGATTTAAGGATTTGCAATCACCCCTGAGTTGCGTTAGTCAAAATAATTTTGGGAATTACGAAGTATATTATCCCGACAAAAAAATTGGAATGAATCACTAATATAATATTATGCACGTTGATTGATGATCTACAATAAACATCTTTCAATTCATTATAATCCTGAATATAGTTTTAATGTCTTTGAATGTTTCAATGAGAGAGGTACTGAGATTGAGGTTGTTGAGGAGCATGTGATTTTTCACGATATCGGAATTTTGTTATAAGGAGTATCATGAGGGATGGCTGCCTGTAACAGGTGTACGAATGAGAACGATTAATATAATACAATTCGAAAGCAGGAAAAATGATTTGGAAGGAAGTTTTTTTAATAATAAAAAAGGCCCTTTAAACACTTTGTAAAAGGATTGCGTATAAAATGTAAGAAATAAGGTGTGTATTACAAAGAGACAAAAGAGAATAGAGTAAGGACACGAAATAGTAATAACCTTATAAAAAGGATGAAAATAAGAAATCCTCATGATTTTTAAGGTCTTTTATAAGAAACATAATTATTTCAACTATAAATTTGGGCAAGCGTAGGGCTATATATGGGTAGCAATCTTTGGGGGAACGAAATAAAAAAGGATTCTAAGTCAATTAGGGGCGCCTGTTATGGAGAAAGGAAAAGGGGGCATTTATGATAGAAATGAAAAGGTACACGTGCTATAAGGGGAATTATCAGAGGTGAACGTGGGGTACCCGAAACGGGTCATTTATTAAATATGAATAAAAAAGGCTCTTATGGTAATGGAAAAGGGTACCTAATAAGGAATTTATCTAAGGTTAAAGATGGCATTTATGAAAAAGGGAAAGGAGCTTGTATGAATAAAGATAAGGGGGAACTTACCCGAAGGTAATAGGGTACTTATTAAAAAGGAACAGGGGCACGTGTCAAATTTAAATAAATGGCAAATATCAGAGGTGAAAAGGGACATTTCTAGCATCTGACAAAAGGCACATACCAGAGATGAAAAGAGGCATTAATGGGAATGGAAAAGGGCACTTAATAGTAGGGAATATATGGGCGTAAGGGGAATAAGGGCATTTCTCGCACCTGAAAGAGATGCACATCAGAGATGAAATGGGGCACTTATGAGAATGAAAAAGGGCCACTTACTGTAAAGGAAAATGTCTCGTCGCGTTGACTTGAACGCGACCATTCGTCCAAAGCCGTAACAGTTCGTTATTTTATAGCGCATTTCAGGACCGAAGGACCTACATCAAAGCGCTTTACAATGTACAATGTACATTACATAATAATTAAGCATTTATCAAAAAGGTGAATTTGCAGCGCTCTCTTGAAAACTTCAACATTAGTCATGGAGCGTAGCGACACTGGGAGAGCGTTCCAAAGTTTTGGTCCACATTACGCAAATGCCCTGTCACCATAGGTTTTGGGGCTCCATGATTGAGGGTGAGAAGGTGTTGGGAAGATCGACCGCAAACGCCATTCAAATGACATATCAATATATACCCCTCACTCCTTCGCACGTTGAAAGGTGGGAAAACCCCAAACACAATTTTGTTTAGAAATCTGAACGAGAACCCTTTGTTGCTGGAAGGCCATCAATCCAGTGGGTGAACATCAAAAGAAAAACACAGCAAATAAAAAAAAAAAGAGAAAGAAAAAGCAAACAACATGACTGTGTATTTCAATGTTGCTGACAAAAGTGAGTACACATATTTGTTCAGGTCATATTTCAATCTAAATTTCTTCTCGACATTACACGAACATGACGTTTACTCCATTAGACGGACAAGGGAGTATCAATCTTGGAATTCGCCTTGTTTAATTTGTCTTCCTGTGCAGAATTTGCACAACACTTTTTATATGAAGGGTAGATATGGCAACCATGCAGAACGACCACAGGTACAGTGCATTTTAAAACAAAAATATTTGATTTTAATAAATATGATATGCTTGCCTAATAAATGTATACTACCAGTGGCGTCTTTTAGGGGGGGGGGGGGGTAGTCCCCGGGTTACACACGAAGGAGCGCGCAAGACGCAACGGGGGCGCAAAAGAAAGGAAGAGAAATGAAATAAAAGGAAGACAGTTATGATCCTTGAGGATTTTTCAGAAATAATATTTGATCAGAGTTTAATATGCGAAAATTTTCCCCACTATAGGATATAGTTTATAAGTATATAGCCTTGGAAAGGGTTCAATATTTGAACAAGACACGCTTCTCTTTGTTTTGCTCTTTATTTTAAGTTTTTATAAGTGGCATTAATAGCCTTTCTTCGATTAAGCGCTCCCATAAACAGGCTTGATTATAAAATGGCATTAGGGGTTCAACATTCGAGAAAAAAAATAGTAACTTTCGGTTATCGGGATAAATTAGGTGCTATTATGAATCTATATATTTCGTTCATTTTGCGCCCAATTTGAGGAAGAAGTGAATAAAAAAAAAAGAAGCGATTTTATTAATTTTCGAAATTCGGAACTCAACTGCTTGATTACAGTGCTTTTTGGGGAATTTTAGGTAAAATGCAAAAGGAACTGCGGTTTTTAGTGTTCTAAATCAAAAGTCTGCCTCACATTCGCTTTACCCGCTCGTTCGTTGAGTTATAATTTTTTGGATGGGCTGCAATCCAATGTTTGCCCGGGCGCCTTAATTCCTAGATACGCCATTGTGAAAAGAACATGTAGAATGCACAATTTGAAATCATTATTCCATTGCCATCTCTTTTAATATCATCCAAGATTTGAAGAACATTTTCACTACATATATAATAAAATCATGCATTAATCCCAAAATATTAGCTCATAAGTTTTCATGGGTTATTCTGTATAGGTAGGCCTTTCTCTTGTATATTCCATGATGTCAATGTATTTACAACCCTGACGAATACAAAAATTGAATAAAAAAGTCATGGGGGGGGGGGGGGGGGTTCATTACACAATTTTCCTAAGTATTTTTTTTAAATATCTGAAAATGCACTGTACTCTCCTTTTACAGAATACCGGAGAGCAATAACTGGTAGTTGATGGATACTTCAGACAGGAATAACACGAAGTGACATCTGCGGATAAAAACAAAATTTTGGGTGAACAATTTCCTCCGCTATTTTGAGAAACTCGTTTAAAGAACAAGCGCAAGGAGATAAATCGATTACGACTATAATATTTTCACTTACAACAATAGATAGGGAAGCTCAATTTATAGAAAAGTGTGACCAGGCCCAATTTCAAGAAGCATCTATCTAATGACGTTCACTGAAAAAAAGGATTCACTACAACACTATAAATAAC